AAAAGTTTTTCAGGCCATTGAAGGACAAGCGTGTACGTCTGAGGGTGTGTCTGAACATACTTTCTGTCGCAGGAGAACTGGGTGGAAAACGAAAATTACCTCACGCCACGCTAAATCCGAAGCACCCTGATGTCAGACTCCTTTTTCATGCGGGTCAGTAGGCGATCTGCATCCCGCTGCTCGTCACACAGGTTGGCCCAAGATGGAGTTCAGAAGGTTGAAGGTGGGGACTGTGCAAAGAGGCAGGCGCGATGCGGGTGTTAGAAATGTGACCCAAGTCTGCTGCATGTCCGCGTTGTCTACGTGGGAAAGGATGGGGTGTGGAAAAGGCGGCATGAGCATAGCTAGCTGCAACTGGCTTACACCTTGCTTAATCACACTTCTACAGAATCACAGCATGGCAGAGGTTGGAAGGGACCTCTGTGGGTCACCCAGCCCTACCCCCTGCCCAAGCAGGGTCACCCAGAGCAGGCTGCACAGCACCGCGTCCAGGCGGGGCTGGAATATCTCCAGAGAAGGAGACTCCACAACCTCCCTGGGCAGCCTGGGCCAGGGCTCCGTCACCCTCAGAGGGAAGAAGTTCTTCCTCCTGTTCAGACGGAACTTCCTCTGCTTCAGTTTGTGCCCATTGCCCCTTGTCCTGTCGCTGGGCACCACTGGAAAGAGTCTGGCCCCAAATTTTGCTGATTAGCACAAGGCCAGAAATGAAATTTCACGCCTAGATGCACCAGTTTAACCAAAGTCCCCAAAGCAGACACCAAGGTCACACACCATTAAAGGCAGGGCTTTGGGTGGGAAGCACCAGCCCACCATCCCGGGGTCCTGCCCACGCTCTCAGGGCTACGTTGGTCGCGAGGGTCAGCAATCATTTTCCCCAGGCTAAGAGGGCTCATTGGAGACTTTTTGCCTTTCGGAATCTGTGCTGTAGTCTGGTTTCCATACTCTGTGCACCTCCTTAACGCAACCTCTCCTGCCTCAGGAGCCTGCCAAGGCTTCTGCTCTCCCCCGTTATTTACTTACGGTGCTGCCATTTCAGTCGTTTCTGTAGATTTACTGGTTATGATGTAAAACGTGAATTGAGCCGTGATCGTGGTGAGAGGACGTTCTGCAGACCTTCTGCACGACCCTACCCACCTGTGGATTCCCACGTCTCCGTTGCCGCAGCCGACGCAGACCGTGCGCCCTGGGAGCCGGGCGAAGTACGTACGGCTCGTCTTCTTACGTGAGGCCCTTCAGGCAACGGACTGTTTCCGTGAAAGATGGACGCACAGGAGGTTTGTAACATCCTTGCCCAAAGACAGCCAGAGGAAACTATTTCTATTAATTTCTGTGCTTACTAATTCATAGAAAAGCCTGGTTGTCAGAAGCACCTTTTTATCCTTCAACTTTATAATACAAGAATGAAAAGCAGAACAGTTCTAGCAGATGAATTATCATCTCGTTCCACCTCCAGTATCCTCGAAGGAGGTGCTATTGTTATTTTTAGAAGGAATCCACAAAAACAAAACCCAGAAAAGACACCGGCAAACATAATGAAGTTGGCAACTGCTGATCTATGAAAGCCCTGAGGCAATATTGCTACTTGGTTACACCCCCAGCGCCCATAAATCATTGTCCACATCCGACCTCTTGCTGGAGGCTTCTCAGCTGTTGCTGATGATCCTTTTTTGGGTACTTTTCCCAAAATACACATGTGGTCCTTTGTTCCGAACTTTACGATGGTTAAAATGACCGCTCAGTCCTGGTAACTTAAAACAAACATTGCAAATAGTGCTTCCCATGCACAGGAAACAGCTGGATAAATGGAAGCTGGAACGAATTTCCATCAAAACCAACAATTCATGAAAACTGGTGCTCAGCGAGCAGGGACAGCCTCGGGTTCCTGAGGAGCTTCCTCTGCTGGAGACCGCCGCCCCCCCCCCGTCCACCGCTCTGTGCGCCATCGCCCTCCCGCCCACCCTCAGCACCGCGTGCCACCCTGGCAGAACAGAAGGAACTTCCAAAATACAGCCTTGGGGGTAGGTTTCATCTACATTTTTCTGCTGCTAATTAAGCGCTTCTCAGCTGACCGGGGCACAGAAAAAGAAAAAGTGATCTCGTAAGTCAAGAGAGGGCAACCCACACGTTCCAAACGCTTCAGTTGTTCCGTTTCTCTGTAAGTGGTTTCATCGACAAGGACGCTTGGGCATGACCCTCAAACCAACCCCACCAGCAGAGCAGAGCCAGCTGCGCTTGGAGCGGATCTCGAGGCTCCTCTCTCGGTGCCTCTGCAGCCACCAGGTTTCTTGCAGGACTCTTTACCCCAGGTTCAAAGCAGGGACTTGCCAGCTGGGTATTATTCATTGTAGTAAAGGGGTGGTAGGCCAAAATAAATCACTTTCCATGTCACATCAATTGGGAGATGGAAAATACCATTTAGGTCATACGGTTCCTCAGCTCCTGCCAGCGCAGGGCTGCTCCTGACCGCACATTTTCCACAGCTTTTTTCCTGTCCGCTTGGAATGACTCGAGCACAGGGGCTCCACCGCTCCGCCCCGAGACCTTCCGTGGCCAACACAGCTCCACGTGAGGACAGTTTCCTCTGCATTGCACTGAAACTTTCCTTCGCTAAATGTCATCCCACTCCTCCCACCATGGACCACCCTGATTTGTTCCGCCCTTTCGCTGACGTTTACCACCCTCAGTTTTTACTCTGTGCCTGTCACCATGGTGTCTGTGTGCGTCTGATCTGCAGATACATCCCACCATAGATAAAAGCAGGCAGCGTGGTGCCCAGTGCTCAGAGATGTGGCCACAAAGATATCTTGGGCAAACCATCTTCAGTCTGTGCCTCACGCAAACCCAGACAACCTCTAAATGAATGAGCTAAAGCATGGCATGGCTGTTATAGAACAGCTCAAACACTTGATGCCCACCTAAATTTAGCAAAAAGAAAATCGGTCGCCTGAACTGCTACAGCTGATGAGGAAGATGAGGGAATGGTTTTCATCACCCTGAGAAGTCTGGTGGCCCTCGTGGGACTTCTTTTCTGGTTGTACATAAATGAAGTGAAGATGTGACCACACAGAACCTGCTTCCAGCTGTCCGTCCTCCTTAAGCCGCAGAGACATGGGCTCCACGCGAGATCTTCTCGTTGCAAAGCAAAGGTGTGGGACGGGATGCTGTGAAACCAGTGGACGCTCACGTAACAGCTGGGTGCGCAGCCCGGGATGAACCACTAATTTTACATGAAAACCATCAGAAACTTGGCCTCAAATTCTTTCTTCTGGCCCGGCATCGTGCTCTTTTCACAGAAACAGAGTACCCGCAGGACGCCTGACCCAACGCAGGCTGCGGTGACGGGGTTGAGCAGGGTCCCAGCATGTCTGGCAGAGCAGAAGCCACAGCCTGTGCCCTGCAGAGACGACCAGCGCATGCTCGTTAGCGTCTGTGTGACGGGATGAGAGGCCGGACAGCTCTGCTACCTCACACAAGTCTGGCAATCCCTGCAGCCGGGGCAGGCGAGAAGACGCGGCTACAAAAGCCCCATCACACCCTCTGAACATCACACCCTCCTGCCCTCTCCTAAAAATTCACAGGAGCCGTCCTCACGCAGTCAGCTCTGAAAATAATTAACAGTTCTCTCTGACTTTTTGGGAAGCAACCCCATGGGTGTTTTTCTGGACTCCTTGACCGCAGCGAGGGCAAAGCTGCCGGGCTGCTTCATGGCAGGCGGTGCAGCGAGGACTGCAGGGCCTGAAGAAGGCAGAAACACCCACCGGACTCGAACAACATCATTAATTCACCTTCCCATTAGCCCTCATCAAATAATCCCTCAGGAGGGAGCGGCTCTGGCGTCACACACCCACCCTGGAGGTCTCGGCAGAGGGGCAGGGGCAGCCTGGGGCCGGGGGGATGGCTTTTTGGCAGCACGGGCAGGGCTGCCAGATGCTCCAGCCATCCTTCGCGTCCCCTGACGGTGCGCTGAAACGGCAACGAACTTCTGCGTGTGTGTGCATCACTGAGTAACTCCAGCCCGGGCTCTGCCCTGCAGCCCCCACAGCCCCCACAGAGACCCGCGGGATCGGGAAAATCTGCGGGAAAGAAGGATCACGGGAGGCAGAACCTGCCCAGGTGGCGAGGCGACCTGTTTGCATCGACCCTCCACGAGTGGAAGGAGCGGGACAAGAGGGACAACGCTAGCGGGAGACACTGGTTTTGGCACTCAGCCCCAGACAACCCACGGCCTGTCACCCCACTGATCCTCTCCTCTCGCCCCGGGTACGCACACACGACCCGCTGACCTGCTCTGGCCATTGAACCGCTTGGGATCTGTTTTACTTGGCCGACACCAGAGATGCTCGCGTACAAAATATTTACCCGTAGCCATAGCGGCAGTCAGCAACGCAACTGCAACAACTCCAGCGGCAGCAGCGGAGAGCTGCTGGGGCCTCCACCACAACTCAGGCATCACCGGGGCTGGGAGAAGGGATCTGTGGATCAGCCGGGGCGGGAGGAATGCTCAGACCTTCCCAGCTCCCAGCGAAGCCTGGCATGGGACAGCAAAGCCAGACACCGCGGCCAGCAAACAGTGCTCTCCATCAGCTTCCTCGCGGGGAGCACGCACGAATGGCGACACGCACCCAAAGCTCCTTCCCTCATGGCACCAATCAAGATGTTGGGCACAACGCATCTTTCCTATGGGGAAAGGCTGAGGGAGCTGGGCTCGTTCAGCCTGGAGAAGAGAAGGCTGCGAGGGGACCTTAGAAATGCCTCTAAATATCTGCAGGGTGGGTGTCAGGAGGACCGGGCCAGACTCTTTCCAGTGGTGCCCAGCGACAGGACAAGGGGCAA